CAAAGGAATAAAAGTAGACCACTTTCTTACACCAGACAAAAAAAGAAACCTAAAATGGATTAAGGGCCTAAATGTAACACATGAAATCATAAAAATCCTAGAAGAGAGCACACACAGTAATTATCTCTGACATTGGCCATAGCAACATTTTTCTAGGTATGTCTCCTTAGGCAAGGGAAAAAGAAGCAAAAATAAATGACTGAGTCTACATCACAATAAAAAGTTTTGAAAGTAAACTATCAGTAAAACTAAAAGGCGACCTATGGAATGGGAGAAAATATTTGCAAATGACACATCTCATAAAATGGGCAGTATCCAAGTAACGAACTTCTACAACCCAACATCAAAAACAACAAATAATCCACGGCGCCTGGGTGGCTCAGTCAATTGAGCGTCTGACTTCGGCTCAGGTCATGATCTCGAAGTTCATGAGTTCAAGCCCCACATCGGGCTCTGTGCTGATAGCTCGGTGCCTGGAGCCTGCTTCAGATTCTGTGTCTCCCTCTCTCCCTGCCCATCCCTCTCTCACAGTGTCTCTCTCTTAAAAATAAACATTAAAAATTTTTTTTAAAACCCAAAGAATAATCCAATTAAAAATGGCAAGAAGATATGAACAGGCATTTCTTCCAAGAAGACATACACATGGCCAAACACACACATGAAAAGATGCTCAACAGCACAAGTCAGGAAAATGCAAATCAAAACCACATGAGACACCACCTCACATCTGTCAGAATGACTAAAATCAAAAACAAGAAACAAGTGTTGACTATAAAGTGGAGAAAAAGGAACCTCCATGCACTGTTGGTGGGAGTAAAAACTGGTGCAGCATGTATGGAGATTCCTCAAAAAATTAAAATAGAATTACCATATGATCCTCCACCATAGGTATTTACCCGAAGAATACAAAAATGTTAATTTGAAAGACATATGCACTCCTAGGTTTACTGCAGCATTACCTACAATAGCCAAATTATGGAAGCACCTCAACTGTCCATCAATTGATGAATGGATAAAGATGCAGTGTATATATACAATCGACTATTACTCAGCCAAAAAAAAAAAAAATGAAATCTTGCCATTTTCAACAAGGTGGATGGATCTAAAGGGCATAATGCTAAATGAAGTAAGTCAAGGAAAAACAAGTATGTCATTTCACTCATATGTGGAATTTCAGACAAAAGAAACAACAGCAGGGACGCCTGGTTGGCTCAATCGATTAAGCATCTGACTTTGATTCAGGTCATGATCTCAGAGTTCATGGGTTCAAGCCCCATGTCAGGCTCTAGGCTGACAGTGAAGGGCCTGCTTGGGATTCTCTCTCTGCCCCTCCCTGACATGTACTTTCTCTCTCCCTCAAAATAAACTTAAAGGGGCGCCTGGGTGGCGCAGTCGGTTGAGCGTCCGACTTCAGCCAGGTCACGATCTCGCGGTCCGTGAGTTCGAGCCCCGCGTCAGGCTCTGGGCTGATGGCTCAGAGCCTGGAGCCTGTTTCCGGTTCTGTGTCTCCCTCTCTCTCTGCCCCTCCCCCGTTCATGCTCTGTCTCTCTCTGTCCCAAAAATAAATAAACGTTGAAAAAAAAATTTTTTTAAAAAATAAAATAAAATAAACTTAAAAATAGTAACAGTAACAACAGCAGAGAGGCAAACCAAAAAATGGACTCTTAGCTACAGAGAAGAAACTGATGGTTACCAGAGGGCAGCGGCGATGGGTAAAATAGATGAAAAGGATTAAGAGTACACTTATGGTGAGCACTGTGTAATGTACAGAATCACTAAATCACTGTATTTTACACCTGAAACAGTAACTTAACACTGTACATTAACTATACTTGAACCAAAATAAAAATTAAAGAAAAAATTAATATCCTATAATCATTAAGAGCAGTATTAAAAGTAGCCTTAGATGCATATATTGGAAAAGATGAAAAAGTGACACCTTCAGATGTAAGCTAAAAATTTACCCAGAAAATGGAAACAAAAATTCGGTGTAATATAGTAATGACACTGAAAATTTAAAAGTTAGAAACCCATCTTTTCAGAGTTTTTAATGTACTTTCAACATTTTTAAAATTTTTAAAATTTGAGAATAATTTACATACGATGTTCGTATCAAGTATAACATTCTTCTCCACAATACCAGGATAATTCTAATTATTGTATTTTTATACAATAGAATTTATCAGTGACTTCAAAAATGGTGTTAATCGGGGTGCCTGGGTGACTTAGTCGGTTAAGCTTCTGACTTCAGCTCAGGTCATGATCTCGCAGTTTGAGCCCCGCATCAGGCTCTGTGCTGACAGCTCAGAGCCTGAAGCCTGCTTCACATTCTGTGTCTCCCTCTCTCTCTCTCTCTGCCCCTCTCCTCCTTACACTGTCTCTTTCTAAAGTAAATAAAACATTTAAAAAATGTTTTCAATTTTTTTCAATGGTGATAATCAACAAACAACTACAGATGACGTTCTTACACTAGACAAAAATTAGACAATGAGGAATTTCCATCTCACTAACAGAGATACAGGCAAAAATCTTAAAACACTATATATATGCAATGTTTGAAAAGAATTTCACTGTGACTAAGGGTATCCGAAGAAAAAAAGACTGGTTCGATATAAAGAAATGCACATCAGCAACAGCTTTTATAAATACTACAGAAACAACCACGTTATGGGTATTTGTGTGGCAGGTAGGAACAGATGGACCTTTGTAATGGCTGAAAGCCAGCTTTAAAAAAAACAACAAAACAAGATAGGTTAACCTTAGAAGAGCTAAATATATGGACACAATTATTCTTAGATGGAAAGATTCAACATAATAAAGAGTACTTCTCAAATTTCTCTATGAATTCAACGTAACCAACCAATGCCAAACAAAATCTAAAGAGTATTTCATAAAACTTAACAGATTCTAAACTTATTTCAGGGGGCGCCTGGGTGGCGCAGTCGGTTAAGCGTCCGACTTCAGCCAGGTCACAATCTCGCGGTCCGTGAGTTCGAGCCCCGCGTCAGGCTCTGGGCTGATGGCTCAGAGCCTGGAGCCTGTTTCCGATTCTGTGTCTCCCTCTCTCTCTGCCCCTCCCCCGTTCATGCTCTGTCTCTCTCTGTCCCAAAAAATAAATAAACGTTGAAAAAAAAAAAAATTTTTAAACTTATTTCAGAAGAGAACAAAGATGAAAGTGTAACCAAGACAGTATTTAAAAGATGAAAAGTATGGGCTGACATTCTCCCTAATAGTTATAAAATCATTCAACAAATTCACTATGTGCCATTTACCCAAAGGACACAAAAATGCTGATTCGAAGGGCATAAGCACCCCAATGTTTACAGCAGTACTATCAACAATAGCTAAAGTATAGAAACAGCCGAAATGTCCGTTGACTGATGAATAGATACACAAGGTGTAATATATATAATGGAATATTATTCAGCAACCAAGAAGAATGAAATCTTGCCCTCTGCAACAACATGGATGGAACTGGAGTGTATTACGCTAAGAGAAGTAAATCAGAGAAAGACAAATACCATATGATTTCATTCACATGTGGAATTTAAGAAACAAAACAGATGAATATAGGGAAAGGGAAGAAATATACAATAAAAACAGAGAGGGAGACAAACCATAAGAGACTCTTAAGGACACAGAACTGAGGGTTGCTGGTGAGGTTTGAGGGGGGGGGGGCGGGAATGAGCAAAATGGGTGATGGGCATTAAGGAGGGCACTAGCTGGGATGAACACTGGGTGTTATACCTAAGTGGTGAATCACTAAATTCTATTCCTGAAATCACTATTGTACTATACGTTAACTTGGATTTAAAAAAAACATTCACTATGTGCCAGATAAATGCCAGGGATACATATGAAGACAGAATGTACTTCATGGAGTGTTAAGTAACATAATCAAGTACACAAATGCTTCTGACAGAAGTGCCAAAAAGGAAATAACAAGGTGCTACCATAGATATTGGCAAACTTAATTAGGAAAGACCCCTTGGAGAATGAAGTATCAGCCTCACGGGCAGTTGTAAGTAGTTTGGATTTTTACCCTAAGTGCTACAGAAGTTTTTTTCAGTGATAAGATGACATTTTTAAAGTCATCCTGACAAATTCTATCATATCAAAATTGTACCAATATTTTTAAAAAGATACTGTAAGGGCAATAAAAAATCTGAAAGATGAATTTCTAGCTCTTGTACCTCTTTTTTTTTTTTTAAGTTTATTTTTATTTATTTTGAGGACAAGCAAGAGAGTGGGAGAGGGGAGAGAGAGAGGATAGAATCCCAAGCAGGCTTTACAATGTCAGTGCAGAGGCTGATGCAGGGCTCGAACTTACCAATCATGAGATCATGACGTGAGCAGAAACCAAGAGTCAGATACTTAATCAACTGAGCCACCCAGGTGCCCCAGTATCTCTACTTTTCTTAACAGTGATAACCACTATCAAATGATAGAAGTCCATATTTCCAGATGAAAAAAGCATGCTTCAGAGTTATATAACAGAATTCAAGTGGCAAGAACACAGTACTCACGTACATAGGTATCAATATGTAAATTATTTGTGTGAATACAAAAAAGAAGTCTACTCGAGTGATATAAACCAATTGAAAGCATTTGCCTCTTTTATTAAATAAAGGAAAGGTACAAAAACAGTCCTCTGCTGTTAAGTCTACAAACTTCTAAAGGATTGCCTTTGAAGATCTAACAGATAAATATGAGAAAAGCTGGCTCCAGGACAAGGTCCTTGTGTTGTTAATCTAGAATGACACAAGCACTGCCTGTGTAGGAAAGGTACTAAAAGTGCCTCCATGTTACTGGTCCTGAAACATGGACTTTAGAGTCTTGTAGACCAAAGACACAAAACTGTTTTGCAATGCTGTTACTTGTTTATGTATTAGTCCCTTATCAACTAAAAGCATTAATAAATGATAGTTCACACATGTCATCTCAATTTATTTGGAAAGTATTCTTTAAATACAACCAAGGTCAGTATGGGATAAACTCACTGAAAAGCCTGCATCTTCTAAACTGGACACAATCTTGGAAGAAAGTTCCTCACAGCACAAATTCTCTTCTGCAGTTGCCACCAAAGCAGCACAGCGGGCAAATGCTCTATATAATTCTGACCAAGTTCTAAGTAAGGTCTTCATGGTAGCCTAAAATTAACAGTAAGAAAGAAAATTTTAAAATGTCTATCTGCATATAAAACACCTAAGAGACTATACCTTAAAAAGCCACTGTAACATTTAAGGTGTCACAGAAGACATTAGTGTACAGTATTTAAGTCCGCCACCCCTCCAGAATTCTATTTGAAGAACTGTAATAATGCCACAATTATCAGAGGTCAAGAGAAATTTCTTTCTTCCTTCACCATTTTCCTTTACCCTAAGCTAATTAAGTCATAAGGAAATCTCATTTCAGGAAAAATTACTGTAGGAATTCATTATAAAGGGTGAAATAACATTCTCAAAAATTGTAAATTTTTCATGTAAAAAATGTGACATTGCCTTACCACTGGAAATTTCTGTACTGAAAATATATGGTTTATTGGTAAAGTCAATGCACCATATATGGCACTAAAGTTATGTTCTAAGGCATCACCTTGATTCACTTCATTGGTCTGAAACAAGAAAAATAATGAAGAAATTAGACAAATTACCATCTATTTCTAGTCTATGTAGTACCATCTTATTATCTATAGTAAGAATATGTCCCCTAGTATTGAGATGCTCAAGAGGTAGTGCACTCCTAAGTCCTCTAATTGCAAATATGACCTCATTTGGAAATAAGTACTTTGCAGATGTAATCAAGGTAAAATGAATGAATGTTGGATCAGGGTGTGTCCTGATCCAATCATTAGTATTTTATAAGAGAAAAGGAATTTGGATAGACAAAAGACACAGGTAAGAATGCCATGTGAAGATGGAGGGAGAGATTAGAGTGATGGGTCTACAACCCTAGGAACAATCAAGAACTGCCAGCAACCGGGGCGCCTGGGTGGCGCAGTCGGTTAAGTGTCCGACTTCAGCCAGGTCACGATCTCGCGGTCCGTGAGTTCGAGCCCCGCGTCGGGCTCTGGGCTGATGGCTCGGAGCCTGGAGCCTGTTTCCGATTCTGTGTCTCCCTCTCTCTCTGCCCCTCCCCCGTTCATGCTCTGTCTCTCTCTGTCCCAAAAATAAATAAAAAAAGTTGGAAAAAAAAAATTAAAAAAAAAAAAGAACTGCCAGCAACCAAAGGTAGCTAACTGAGAATAGAACAATTCTCCCACAGGGCTCCAGAAAAAACCAAGCCTGCCAACACACTGATTTTGGATATCTGGGCTCCAGAGTTATAAGACTAAATCCCTGTTGTTTTAAGCCATCAGCTTAAAGTAATGTGTTACAGCAACCCTGAGAAACAATGCACGGTGTTTAAGTCCTTAAAAAAAAAATCCCAGAAGTAAGTCCAAAATTTTCTACTATACATAGAAGGTAGGATTCAAGCAAGAACTTGAATTGCTATCCTTCAAATAATAGAAAACTATTTAGGAATATACACTTTTCTCTTCCAGAAGAATGTTAAATGATGTGAATTGAGAAGTAAAAATAATGGCTATTATCACTTAATGAATTTTGAGTCTTCAGTTTATTTCAGAATCACAGCAGAGTATTTCCCAGAACATACTTCCATTTAAAGACTGACAAAGCAGCTGATGAACCATTTATTAGCAGTGACAGAACTTGAGCTCCTTACCCCTGCCAATAATGTAACTTTTTAAAGTATTTAAATGATAAGGGTTAGTCAACTCTCAGCAGATTACTGGTTCAGGGACTAGCATATGGCTTTGCCACAATCACCAACATGGCTTGCCCATGGAAATCTTAATATACAGTCTAGTCAAGAAGAACATTACTCTTCCATAATAGTACAAATAATGAAATAAATTGAAATATAAATATGAAAAGTTGTATGTAACAGACCTGAACCTTCTGGCTTTATAATTACTACTGGAAACAATGGAGCTGATTAGTCCCCAATTAAGTTATACCTCCTCAAAAAAGGCAGAAATGCAATGAAAAGAAATCAACTAATATAAAGAATAGGAAATTAATCCCACAGGAGAAAATTTTTAACATCTATTCAAATTCAAACTTAAGTTTTATGGGAAATATGTAGCACTTATGTCATACCTGATTAATCAATTCAGTTAGTGGGGTGACTATAATACTCCACATTCTCCAGAGATGCTCCTTGTTTTCCAACAGCTTTGCATTTTGATTAATAACATTTAAAACAGAGTCACTGAAAGCTAGTGGTGAAGTTGGTCCAGAAAGGACACAGCCTACAAGTGTTTCCAGATTGAGAAAAAACCTGAAGAAAAAATTTTGAGCCATGCATTAACCAGAGTGCATTTTGCCAAAATACATTAGTTACACCACACTACTAAGATTCCAAAAGTAACTGCCAAGGAAACAAGAAATGATAAATCCCAAGTTTTATTTTGATATTTTTAATTTAAAAAAATGATATAGTATATAATTCAAGACTCTCATTCATCAAACAGCCACCTTTCCAAGTTTATAAAAAGGCTAGTTTCAGGGGGCACCTGGGTGGCTCAGTAGGTTGAATGTCCTACTTCAGCTCAGGTCATCTCCTCACAGTTCGTGGGTTTGAGCCCCACATCGAGCTCTGTGCTGACAGCTCAGAGCCTGGAACCTACTTCAGATTCTGTGCTCTCTCTCTGCCCCTCCCCTGCTCATGCTCTGTCTCTGTCTCTCAAAAAATAAAACATAAAAAAGCCTAGTTTCAGTTTAAATTACCTTTCATCTTCTACACCATATTCCAGGAGATTATTGTTGAAAATTAACTGAATTAAGAACAAAGCAGGAGTCCCCTGAAGAAAGACAGGAGATTGCAGTCAATCTTCTTGTTATAAGGAGTATAATCTTGTTACACGTTTCCTACAATTATGTTAAATAGGATCCTTTTAAGCTACAAATAATTTAACTTTACCTATTACTTAGGATATGACACAATGTCAGCAAATATATTTCTATAAGCCACACACAAAAATCAAGCTCTTTATATTTCAATGACAGCTATTCCATCTACATGAGCAATTGAGGAATGGAATATTTCAGACATAAAAAGAACATTAAGTTAAAACGTCCTGGACTAACAAATACCTACATCTTGTCGTTATGTTTATTTCACCGTAATCAAGCAACTGTTACTATGCTTCCAAATTTTTAAACAGTAACCACCCCTATTACTATGTATAAGTAAATAGAAAACTTTCCTTCTAAAACTTTTTATGTAATTCAGAAAAACAGTTCCATTAATAGTGCCATGTTTCTTTACATTAACTTATTACTGTTATCAGTTTTTCCCTTTAACATAATCAGCATTCCAAATCTAATTCTCTCAAAATTTCACAATTTATGTCTCACTACGTTAAGGAAAACAACAACTGTCATGGAACTTTTTCTTTTTTTTTTTGGCTAATTTTAACCATATCATTACATTTAAGATACTTGCATTAAGAATATCCATATTAGCAACCTGATATGCTGGTGAACCTAATACTTTCTGGGGCAGTCCTTTAATTGTAATTTCCATGAGGACCTAAGAAAGATAAAAAGTTTTACTGTAAATTAGCCATAAAACTACTTTACTTAGTAAAAATCTAGTAGCATTAGCTATATTCTGTATTTTCAACAATTTATGGTTAAGTAATGCTCATTCATTAATGTAAATACATTCCCAGTTTAAGTTTCAAATACAATGTTTATACGTTAATGTGAATATGTTATTTTTAAAAGTTCAAATACAGAAATACAAAAAAATAAAACAATAAAGTCTTTTATCTCCAGTGAAAAATCAATGCTATCAATTTGGAGTTTATGTTCAGGACCTTCTAAATTTCCATGTATTTTAGTACACAGAGAAACATAACTTCCTGGGCTAGCTGTCACATATAAAAATACATAATTATTTTTCTTATACCATTAATGATATTACACTGTGAGATACTCTGGAACTGACCTTCATCTAATTATGTTATGGAGTTTTCACATCAATATACATAGACATTTTTTAAGTTTACTTATTCTTTTAAGTAACCACTATGCTCAGTGTGGGGATCAAACTCATGACCCTGATACCAACAGTTGTACGCTCTTCTGTGGCATCTGGGTGGCTCAGTTGTTAAGCGTCTGACTCTTGATTTCGACTCAGGTCATGATCTCACAGTTGACCTTAGTCCTGTATCAGACGCCATGAGACAGTGCAGAACATGCTTGGGATTCTCACTCTCCCTCTCTCCCTGCCCCTCCCCCACTCACTCGCTTGCAGGCTGTAACAGACTTAAAGAAAAAAGAGTTGTATGATCTTCTAAGTCATCCAGATGCCCCCTATGTAGACATTCGTAACTACTATAGGAACATGCATAGTTTATTCAAACATTTTTCTATTAATGGCCCTTGAGGGTATTTTTTTCATACCACAAAAAGATATTCTGCAATGAGTTATGTACTCACTAGTGCCAAAATCAAGTATTTCAAAAGACTACCAACTAGAAGCTGGGTCTAAAGACACACTCTTGCACTCCCTACCAAAATAACACCAGCATTCTTCACAAAGCTAAAGCAAACAATCCTAAAATCTGTATGGAGCCACAGAAGACCCCAATTAGCCAAAACAATCCTGAAAAAAATCAAAGCTGGAGGCACCGCAATCCCAGACTTCAAGATGTATTACAAAGCTGGTATCAACAACACAATATGGTACCAGCACAAAAACAGACACAGATCAATCGAACAAAATATATAATCCAGAAATGGATCCACAAATGTATGGCAACTAATCTGACAAAGCAGGAAAGAATACCCAATGCTACTGGAGTCAAAAGAAAGCTGAAATAGCCATGCTTATATCAGACAAACTAGATTTTAAACTAAAGGCTATAACAGGAGATGAGGAAGGGCATTATAGCATAATTACGGGGTCTACCCATCAAGAAGAGCTAATAATTATGAATGTCTATGCACCAATTCGGGGGCACCCAAACATATAAAACAATCACAACATAAGCAATCTTACTTGTAAAAATGTGGTAATTGCAGGGGATTTTAAAACTCCAGTTACAGCAATGGACTCACCATCCAGACAGAAAAATCAAAGAAACAATGGCCCTGAATGATACACTGAACCAGATATATTCTGGTTCTATATTGTAGTTTGACAGATATATTCACAACTTTCATCCTAAAGCAGCAGAATACACATTCTTCTCAAATGCACATGGAACATTCTCCAATAGATTACATACTAGTTCACAAAAACAGCCCTCAAATCAATATAAAAGAACTGAGATCATACCATGCACATTTTCAGGTCACAATGCTCTGAAACTTGATATCAACCACAGAAAAATCAACCTCCAAATGCATGGAGATTAAAGAACATGGTACCAAAGAATGAATGGGTCTACCAGGCAATTAAAGAAGAAATTTAAAAATATATGGAAACAAATGAAATTGAAAACATGACAGCCCAAACTGGGATAAAGCAAAGGCAGTCTTAAGAGGAAAATATGTTGCAATCCAGGCCTATCTCATTAAACAAGAAAAATCCCCAAAACAAAATCTAACAGCACACTTAAAGGAAGCTGAAGCAGAACAACAAAGAAACCCCAAGGCCAGCAGAGGAGAAATAATAAAGACCAGAGCAGAAATAAACACAGAATCCAAAAAAAAAAAAAAAAAAAAAAAAAACACAAAATGAAACAAAACAACAAACATAGAACAGAACAATGAAACTAAGAGCTAACTGGTTTTTTGAAAAAAACAAAATTGATAAACCCCTAGCCAGACTTCTCAAAAAGAGAGGCCCCAAGCAGATAAAATCACAAATGAAAAATGGATTTACCACAACCAATCCCTCAGAAATACAAGCAATTATCAGAGAACATTATGAAAAATTATATGCCAACAAACTGGACAACCTGGAAGAAATGAACAAATTCCTAAATACCCACACACTACCAAAACTCAAATGGGAAGAAACAGAAAATTTGAATAGACCCCCATTAACTAGTGAAGAAAATGAATCATTTATCAAAAATCTCCCAACAAATAAAAGTCCTGGCCCAGACGGCTTCCCAGGGGAACGGTACCAGACATTTAAAGCAGAGTTAATACCTATTCTTCTCAGGGCACCTGCGTGGCTCCGTCAGTTAAGCGTCCGACTTCGGCTCAGGTAATGATCTCACAGTTCATGAGTTCGAGCCCCCCATCTGGCTCTGTGCTGACAGTTCAGAGCCTGGAGCCTGCTTCAGATTCCATGTCTCCCTCTCTCTTTGCCCCTCCCCCCCTCCCCCGCTCGCACTCTGTCTCTCTCAAAAATAAATAAAACGTTAAAAAAAATTAAAAAAAAAAGAAAATACCTATCTTCAAGCTGCTCGAATAGTAGGAACGGAAAGAAATTTTCCGGACTCATTCTATGAAGCCAGCATTACCATGATTCCCAAACCAGACAGAGACCCCACAAAAAAGCAGAATTACAGGCCAATATCCCTGATACACATGGATGCAAAAATTCTCAACCAGATACTATCAAATCGAATCCAACAGCATATAAAAAGAATTATTCACCATGATCAAGTGGGATTCATTCCTGGGTTGCAGGGCTGGTTCAACATTCACAACTCAATCTATGTAATACATCACATTAGTAAAAGAAAGGATAAGAACCATATGATCCTGTAAACAGATGCAGAAAAAGCATCTGACAAAATACAGGATCCTTTCTTAATAAAAACCCTCAAAGTCAGGATAGAAGGAACATACCTAAACATCATAAAAGCCATGTGAAAAGCCCACTAACATCATCCTCAATGGAGAAAAACTGAGAGCTTTCCCCGAGATCGGGAACATGACATGGATGTCCCTCTCACCACTGTGGCTTAACATAGGTTTGAAGTCCTAGCATTAGCAATCAGACAACAAAATGAAATAAAAGGCATAAAAATTGGCAAAGAAGTCAAACTTTCACTTTTCGCAAATGACAGGATACTCTCTACGTGGGAAACCCGAAAAGACTCCACCAAAAGGCTGCTAGAACTGATACCTGAATTCAGCAAAGTAGCAGGGTACAAAAACCAATGCACACAAATCAGTTGCATTTCTATATACCAATAATGAAGCAACAGAAAGAGAAATCAACGAATTGATCCCATTTACAATTGCACCAAGAACCATAAAATACATTTTACAAAGATGTAAAAGATCTGTATGCTGGAAACTATAGAAAACTTACGAAGGAAATTGAAGACACAAAAAAATGTAAAACCATTTCGTGCTCATGGATTGGAAGAATGAGTATTGTTAAAATGTCAATACTACCCCAACAATCTACACATTCATTCTTCTCAAAGCTAGAACAATTCTAAAATTTGTATGGAACCACAAAAGACCCCGAATAGCCCAAGTAATACTGAAGAAGAAAACCAAAGTGGGAGGCATCACAATCCCAGACTTCAGCCTCTACTACAAAGCTGTAATCATCAAGACAGTATGGTATTGGCACAAAAACAGACACATAGACCAATGGAATAGAATAGAGAACCCGAAATTGGATCCACAAATGGATGGTCAATCTTTGACAAAGCAGGAAAGAGTATCCAATGGAAAAAAGACAGTCTCTAGCAAATGGTGCTGGGAGAACTGGACAGCAACATGCAGAAGAATGAAACTAGACCACTTTCTTACACGATGCACAAAAATAAACTGAAAATGGATGAAAGACCTAAATGTGAGACAGGAAATCATCAAAACCCTACAGAAGAAAACAGGCAACAATCTTTGACCTCAGCCGTAGCCATTTCTTACTCAACATATCTCATCAAAAAGCTGCTGCACTGCAAAGGAAACAACCAACAAAACCAAAAGGCAATGACAGAATGGGATAAAATATTTGCAAATAACATATCGGATAAAGGGCTAGTATCCAAAATCTATAAAGAACTTACCAAACTCCACACCCAAAAAACCAAATAATCCAGTGAAGAAGAAATGGGCAGAAGACATGAATAGACATGGCCAACAGACACATGAAAAGATGTTCAACAATCATCATCAGGGAAATACAAATCAAACCACACTGTGATACCACTTGACACAAGTCAGAGTGGCTAAACCTAACAAGTCAGGAAACAACAGATGCTGGCAAGAATATGGAGAAACAGGAATCCTCTTTCACAGTTGGTGGGAATGCAAACTTGTGCAGCCGCTCTGGGAAAGTGTGGAGGGTCCTCAAAAAATTAAAAATAGAACTACCTTACAACCCAGCCATAGCACTACTAGGAATTTATCCAAAGGATACAGCAGTGCTGATTCATAGGGCACATGTATCCCAGTATTTATAGCAGTGCTTTCAACAACAGCCAAAATATGGAAAGAGCCTAAATGTCCATCAACGAATGAATGGATAAAGAAGACGTGGTTTATATATACAATGGAATACTACTTGGCAATGATTAACAATGAAATCATGCCATTTGCAGGAACGTTGATGAAACTGGAAGGTATTATGCTGAATAAAATAACCCAGTCAGAGAAAGACAGATACGTGTTTTCATTCATATGTAGATCCTGAGAAACTTAGAAGACCATGGGAAAAGGAGGGAAAAAAAGAGAGAGAGGGAAGAAGGCAAACCATAAGAGACTCTTACAGAGAACAAAGTGACGTTGATGAGGGGGTGGGGGAGAGGGGCAAATGGGTGATGGGCACTGAGGAGGGCATTTGTTGGTATGAGCACTGGGTGTTGTTGTATGTAAACAATGAACCACGGGAATCTATCCCCAAAACCAAGAGCACACTTCACACACTGTATTTTAGCCAATTTGACAATAAACTATATTAAAAAAAAAAATCCTACAGGAGAAAGGAGGCAAAAAAATCTCTTTGACCTTGGCCACAGCAACTTCTTACTATGGAGGCAAGAGAAACAAAACCAAAAATGAACAACTGGAACCTCATCAAAATAAAAACCTTCTGCAGAGCAAAGGAAACAATCGGCAAAACTAAAAGGCAACCGAGAGAATGGGAGGAGGTATTTATTACAAATGACATCTCAGATAAAAGGTTAGTGTCCAAAACCTATAAAGAACTTATCAAACTCAACACCCAAAAAAATAATCCAATGAAGAAATGGGCAAAAGACATGAAAAGACACTTCTCCAAAGAAGACATTGAGATGGCTAACAGATACATGAAAAAATGCTCAACACTTCACTCATCATCAGGAAAATACAAATTAAAACCACAATGAGATACCACCTCACACCAGTCAGAAGGGCTAAAATAAACAACTCAGGCAACCACAGATTTGGTGAGGATGCGGAAAAAGAGGAATGCAAACTGGTGCAGCCACTCTGGAAAACAGTATGGAAGTTCCTCAAAAAATTAAAAATAGAACTACCCTACAACCCAGCAATTGCACTACTAGGTATTTATCCCAGGGATACAGGAGTGCTGATTCAAAGGGGTACATGCACTCCAATGTTTATAGCAGCACTATCAACAGTAGCCAAATTATGGAAAGAGCCCAAATGTCCATGGATGGATAAAGATGTGCACACACACATACACACACAATGAAGTATTAAAAGAATGGCACTCAAAAAGAATGAAATCTTGCCATTTGCAACTACATGGATAGAACTGGAGGGTATTATGCTAGGCAAAATTAGCCAGTCAGAGAAAGACAAATATATGATTTCACTCATATGAGGACTTTAAGATACAAAACAGATAAACATACGGGAAGAGAAGCAAAAATGATGTAAAAACAAGGATAAGGCAAAACATAATAGACTCTTATAGACAACAAACTGAAAGTTGCTGGAGGGGTTGTCAGTGGGGGGGGGGATGGGCTAAATGGGTAGGGGGCATTCGGGAGGACACTTGTTGGGATGAGCACTGGGTGTTATATACATAGAGGATGAATCACTGGAATCTACTCCTGAAATCATTATAGCACTATATGCTAATTTGGATGTAAATAAAAGTAAAACAAACAAGAAACAAAAAAAAAAAAAATAAAGACACACCTCTCAAATGTGACAGAGCCTATCAAACTGCCATCCAAAAATATTGTACTGGTATTAACTTGAACGACTTTAACTTCAGTGACATAATGATATAATAGAAAGTTTAGGGCGCTTGGGTGGATGTACGTTAAGCATCTGACTCTCGGTATCAGCGCAAGTCATAATTTCAGGGTTCTAGAGTTCAAGTCCCATTATCGGGCTCTGTGCTGACAGTGCGGGGCCTGCTTGAGATACTCTCTCTTCCTCTTGCTCTCTGCCCCTCCAGTGTGCACTCTCTCTCCCTCCCTCCCTCTCTCAACAAATAAACTTAAAAAAAAAAAAGAAAAGAAAAGGTTATGTTGGTAAGTATGTTTTCACATTCTCATTTGAATCAAACACTAATGATAATAATAATAATAAATTGTATTTGTGGACTCATTTATTTCATTTCTGGCTCATCATGCCCTTCACGTATTAATCATAAAACTACTACATTCCCTTAAAAAAAGGTAAGGGAGGAGATAAACTTCCCAAGTTCACTCAGCTAATAAATAATTTGGCTGCGATTCAACCTAGTCTGCTCCAGAGCCCTTGCTATTAACCACTATGATCTACTGCCATAGTAGTTATCGCTGTCCCAGTACACAGAGACTCAGAAGGAATTTAAGTACAGTCTATTTCATCTGCAGTTTATCTTGGGGAGACTCACTATTATAAAAAAGTATATCCAATTGGTTTTTTCCTTCTCTACTATAGGATAAAAAAAAGTCTTTAATACCAAAATACTTATCTCAGTTAAGGAGGGTTAAATTGCACAAGTCCCAAAGATTATTACCAGCTTAAATGTACAAACTAACAATTAATGGAGCTAGGCAATCTTATAAAATTAATGTTTAGCTCAGTTCACAGTTCATGTTCTTAACCCCAATTTTCTCTGTATGGCTCATTCTTTTTTTTTTTTTTTTTTCAACATTTATTTTATTTTTGGGACAGAGAGAGACACAGCATGAACGGGGGAGGGGCAGAGAGAGAGGGAGACACAGAATCGGAAACAGGCTCCAGGCTCTGAGCCATCAGCCCAGAGCCCGACACGGGGCTCGAACTCACGGACCGCGAGATCGTGACCTGGCTGAAGTCGGACGCTTAACCGACTGCGCCACCCAGGCGCCCCTGTATGGCTCATTCTTATGACAGTGGAATATTTCTGTATTGCCGGTATAGTCATTTACTTTACTGAGGTTTCAGACGACTCTGAAGTCAATGGAATAACATTTATTACAGGGCTAAATTGCCGATAAATACTTGATACAAAATGTCTTCTCAAAACATGGTCTGTGTAAGTAGTATTTTTTCCAATATAAAATTCAATTTCAGAATATGATTTTTAAATTCCAGCATGAATTATCTTACTTACCAATGTTTTTGATACAGGAAATACTTCTGACTTTACTATGCTTTCTAACGATTTTAGTAAGAGGGTCAAAACTTCAGAACCTGGTCTCTCTTTTTTGTTACCTATCAAAAAGGAAAAGGAAGAATGTGGTTCTAAACATGCAAGTATTTTTAGGGGTGAAAATACAGTATTTTTAGGAATAAAAACATATACTTAGCTAAGAAAGACTAATTTTTAAAGTAAATCAATAAATTGCCTTGTTTAAAAGAAAATTAAAGTCTGGAAGCTACATGCTTCAAAAATTGACTCTAAAATAATTTTATTTATAAAAGCCAAACAATTCACTGAGATCTATAAAAATTATTTGATCAGTATTATAGTAGTTACCTGATTCAATGATTGATTTCATCAAGCTAATTAGTTCCTTCCAAATAGCATTGACAACTGCCTCTGCCAAACAAAACAAAACAAACTTTAGAAATGAAGCAGACAGTACTATAAAGGCTCACCCTTTTACCTTTATGCTAAAGAAGCTGAGCCATTCTTAGTCTAAAACAGAATTCTTATAATATTCAGCCTTGTAGTCAGTTTATGAAACACTATCACAACACTGTTTAAAGAAATGTTTTTTCAAACTGTAACACATTAACACTGGGTCATGGAACTTAAGGATAATTATTTTCTCCTTTCTAGTACCTGTATTTTCTTTATTGAACACCTTTTGCTGCTGACAGAAGGAAAAAAATAAAGATTCAAAAGGACACCTGAAAACCAGCCAGTTAAATAGCTAACGATTTCATTTTTGAAATTTCTTCACAATATCTGACAGGCTATGAAACATAGGAGTTTTGAGTGTGGATGCTGGAGCCACAGAGCCCAGGTCTGAATCACAGCTCCACCACTTACTATGTGACTTTGCACAAGTTATTTACTTCTATGTACAACGCAATTTCCTCATCTAAAAAACAAAGGTTACTCTAAGGATTAAATGATTTATATGTAAAGGTCCTGCAGCATAATCTGGGCAAAAGATGGCAATATGTAAATATTTCCTATTCTACTTTTTTAAACACAGGTTTAAACAAACAAAAAAATCTTCTCTTAAGTATTTACCAGAAGCATCTTTTCCAACCGCAACAAAGCTATCATGAACAGCAGTGATAAGCGTACTTGCATGTTTGGAAAAAAAAGAAGAGCTGCTGATTAATGGATGTTCGAGTGGCTCTAAAAAAGAAAAAAAAGACAATTATGCCGATCCAAAGCCTTATGAAATAAATGTATCAATATAAAATTTTACGTGGTCCGACATGTGTTTTCTATTAAAAAGATTTATGCTTATATCACACAGAATTACAGAATATTTTGGCTGTGGGGGAAAAAAGCATGTCTTGTCACCCCAATGTACAATGATCTGAACGGTTTTTAAAAAGTAAATACCTAAGCTCAGTACAAGTTTGTTTTGCTTAGCAAAACTCAAGACTTCTGGACCCAACAAAAAATGAAGCAGCATTTCAAGTCCCAAAAGTTGAATAGAGGGGATTGTGGCCATTCCACCAAAATTTGAACTTAAGTTCATCCGAGGAGTTACAGGAGTTCCATATGGGGAAGCACCTTAAAAAAAAAAAAAGAAAGAAAGAAAAAAGAAAAAAAAAGGTAAGTTACATAAGCTAAATTAGCTAACCAAATGAACATATTTTGTTTACTTCATTTCAGTGAAATATATTTTTAAAAGTAAATACTTTGTTTCTGAAATAAAAGTTGAGTTCTTGTTTAAAACCTGTAAGAGTTCCTAATTAGTAGGTTAATAACAAGATTACTGTCACTTACCAATTCTAATGTTTTATTACTTATTTTTTGAGAAAGAGAGCATGAGTGGGGAGGGGCAGAGAGAGAGGGAGACACAGAATTCTGAAGCAGGCTCCAGGCTGAGCGTCAGAGCCCAACTTGGGGCTTGAACTCACAAACCACAAGATCATGACCTGAGCCGAAGTTAGACGCTTAACTGACTGAGCCACCCAGGTGCCTGTGTCAGATACCACTTAAATTAAGATAATAATACTATGAAATATTAATATGCACACATTTCTAACACTTAAATATAAAAATCTGACTATAATAACTAACAAAATAATATACAGCAAATAATTTTCTTTCAATACTATATATGCTAAGCCACTTTTTAAAAAACATCTGTTAAGATCTGTTGTTTTTAATAATGACTCTAAGGTTCTGGTTCTGAAACAAACTCAACAGTCATTTGTAATATATCTCACAGATACAGTAGAAAAACGCAGATCTTCAACTACAACAATGCAAGTACAACAGTAACACATAAGGAAAACAAGAGTATAGGATGGATTTTGTGATAAGGGAGCCAAAATTACGAAGTGCTTCATTTTATATGAGTAACGCTTAGCAAAGGTTTCATTTCAAGTCCTTTTTAAAAACAGAAAAAGAACCAAGTATGTCTACCTTACCTTTGTGTATAGGAGTCATGGGATTTAAACCGGGAGAAGTAGCTACACGAGATGAACTGCCTTGAGGTAAAGCATTAGAATCGATGCTTATTGTACTCTGAATCAGAGGCACGCACACCTATTGGGGTTAAAAACAAAAAGAAAGGGAAACTATCTCTAAACTACCTAATTTTCCATAATTTTTTTAAAGTCTTGCATAATACAGTTAAATTTAAGAAGCAATCTAAATTCTTTTGATATGTTGAATCCTACTGGCTGTTTGGATGCACTGCCTAAATACTAAAATTGGAAAAGTAAACATTTTTATTACAACTATATTTGCCATGTGTAATACCTGTAAGTTTCGTTACTAAATTCCAAATGGGAAATTATTATCTGTAAATAATGCCTGAGTTTTAATGCTAATGGTAGAGACTCATTTTAAGCTTTTAAAAAATTCACCCTAAGAAAATATAAACTAAGACAACCTCAAGCTCATTTTCTAAGATCATTCCAGTACCAATCAAATCTAGCCAATGCATAACTTCAACCAATGAATGTGTGGGACAACTGGGTAAAATAAGCCTACTAGGACCTCATAATGGTAGAATTTGGAAAAATTATGATCTCAAGTTACATATTACCATTAATGCCCAATTCTAATTAATTCATGCTATTAAGTTTAAAATCTTTAATACATTAATTAAAATTTTACAAACTTGCTAAAAATTCCAGTATATTACAAAACCCCAAGAATATACTATACTCACTGCTGTGCAATTGTGTATATAGACAAAAAGACTAAGACTACAGATTTAAAAATAAAATGTACTCCAAAAACCGAGATAAAGAAATGAAAAAGATAAAAGAAATTATCAGAGCTATCCTTTTTTTTACTTATTGTACAAATATTCAGAAACCAAACATGGGATTCATTGCAAAAATAAAGGAAGTATAAGTAAGATTAAATAAACTTTATGTCTAAATGCCAGCAAGGGCAGTTGGCAAGATGGCGCCAGCAGGGGGGTGGAGAAGCTGCTGCTGGGCCCCAGTGGGTCCACCATAGCGGCTGCCAGCATGACCTGACCAGCAAGGAGGAAGAGGGCCAAAGCCTATGGTCCTCAGATTAGATAGAGGATTTGTTACAATTTTGTAGCCTAGAAAGTTACAAAAAAATAAGAACTGATCCAACTTTTATCAACCAAGTGTAGCACTTGATTTCTATTTCAGTAATGTCGATTTTATTCTCAATTACATTCTAAATGTTATGGAATTTCCTTTCAAAAATCTTTCAAAATGACTTTAGAGTTAGATATTTGAGTGTTTGCTGGTTGAGAAAGCTTTAGAGACTCCATTTCACACAACTGGAGAATCTTTTGAGGGAAATAAAAAATTCTGTGTTAGGAAGAAAAGATTTTTTATATATTGTGATCTGCTAACACAGCAAATGTAACACTGAAAGAATAGACTGTTAAAAATTTAAGAACACGTTAAAAAACTCCAATCATTAGAGCCAAAACTTGTATTACCTGTTCAAAATTAGCAGGAAGATGAGGTCCAAGTCTCATTAGTAAATACCACCAGACTTCTAGTTTTGTTAGTGCTAGAGTTTCTGTTCTCACGTGGATGGAACTCAAAGGCTGCATTAACAACTTCAGTCTTTTCGCACTGCATAATATTTCTTAAAAGAAAATAAGCACATGGGCAAAAACATGTAAGAAGTTAAGATACATTTTGTGGTTTTGCTAAAAACTAAATTTTAAAACTAAGTATGTAAGTCTCCTTTTATCATCGCAAGAGAATAGATTAAAAATAAATTTTTTTTAGGGGCGTCTGGGTGGCTCAGTCGGTTAAGCGTCCAACTTTGGCTCAGGCCATAGTCTCACAGTTCATGTGCTCAAGCCCCGTGTCGGGTTCTGTGCTGACAGCTCAGAGCCTGGAGCTCACATGTTCCTTCTCTCTCTCTCAAAAATAAACATTAAAAAAAATTATTTTGGGAGGCACCTGGTGGCTCAGTCAGTTTAGCATCCCACTCCGGCTCAGGTCATGATCTAATGTTTCTTGACTTTGAGCCCCGCCTCGGGCCCTATATGCTGACAGCTCAGAGCCTGGATCCTGCTTCAGGTTCTGTGTCTCCCTCTCTCTGCCCCTCCCCTAATTGTGCTTTCTCTCTCAAAAATAAAAAATACTTTATAAAAAAATTTTTTAAACCACCAACTGTTCTTGTTACACCTCAAATTTTCACTTTGACAAACTCCAATACAACTAGACTGTACTTAAGATGGCCATAAATAAATAAATAAATAGAATAAATAATGTTTATTAGATACTGTGTGTGCGCCAGGGACAATTTTCCCAAGAGACATTTGGCAACATATATGGCATCTCTGGCTGTTAGACCGGAGAGGCAGGAGGTATACAGAATGCTGCTGGCATCTAGAATGCACCCAGGGATACTGCTAAACTTCTTTCAACACATGGGACGGTCCTCCACAACAAACCATCCAGCCTAATATTCCATGTGAGCGTTAACAACTGGGGATACATAAGAAGACCTCTGTGCTCAAGTAAATTATCAAAAAGACTTAATAGGGATTTTGAAACATCTGTCTAGCTGTGTTATTTGATGAAATGGCATTAATATTTCTGACAGTTATTTTGCCATTTAGCTTGCACAATTAACATTTCTATCAAGAAAATAAAGTCAAACCACTGTGCAAACAAATACTCTAATCCTTTTTGAACCCCTACTGTACTTATGAGAAGAGTGCTACAATAATATCCCTACAGCAGAAATTGACAGTTACCATATTTTTAGTTACCTCTTTCACTCAGGACAGTGATGGATACCCAATATTTTATTCCTTTACTCAGTCTCCCATTTAGCCATTCTACCCAATGAGATTTAAAGGTAAGTGTATGTAGAATTTCTCGAAAGCTCTAGCGATACATGGCTCAGCTGGGAAGAAATTCATTTTTGCTCTTCTGCCTTCTCCCTTTCCTGTAGTCTATAATTAAGGCATACTGAAGATAACAGAAGAGAAAGGCAGGCAGCTGATTCCTTAAGACTTCTTGGATCCATAATACCAGGGCCAGACTTTTTAACTCTGGACTTATTTCAAATGAGATAGCATTTTATTTAACTTCTTTAAGTTATGTCTATTTTATGCTTTAACACTCAACTTTTACACAAGTCCAATAGGTTTAGTCCAGAACGCTAACTTGCATTACCAGTTCATAACCAAAAAGGTAATATTTACAATTTGTGCCTGGCAATGTACTTTTACCAACATTTTCAATAAAATTATAGGTAATAAAAATAATCACTTTATAAAACACACTAAGGAAAAAGGGATTAATGATCTTCACCAGAGAAAAATATAACATGAAATCAACATTACTTAGCAGATCTTATAAACATCCAATATTGTTTATATCTAAGGTAAGTGGGTACTCATACTGATCTACTTTTGGGCTACATACTTTCTCATATTTACAGTTGACCCATCAACAATATAGGTTTGAATTGCATCGGTCCCCTTATACAGTTTTTTTTTTTTTTTTTT